AATATGTTTTAATTTTACATTGTAGGTCAAATGGCGCCTTGCTATACCCTCTTCCAAATTCCATGTATCTAGCAGTCGGCGCTCTGCTGAAATTTCTTCCATTTTGGAAGAACGTATTCTTGGCACAACCGCTAAGGTAAAGTAATAAAGCTTATTAATATTTATAGTGCAATACTTATGTATATATAAATAACACAAATTTCAATCAAATGTTACATAATCTATAGGCTAATCTTGAAGAAACTGGAAGAGTGCTTAGCATTGGTGATGGTATTGCCCGTGTTTATGGTTTAAAAAATATTCAAGCAGATGAGATGGTGGAATTTAGTTCAGGATTAAAAGGCATGGCTTTGAACTTGGAGCCTGATAATGTTGGTGTTGTCGTTTTTGGCAATGATAGACACATTAAGGAAGGTGACATTGTCAAACGTACTGGAGCTATTGTTGATGTTCCGGTTGGAGAGGAATTGCTGGGACGTGTTGTAGATGCGTTAGGTAATCCTATAGATGGTAAAGGACCACTTAATAGTAAATTGAGATTCCGTATTGGTACCAAAGCACCTGGCATCATTCCTAGGTATTTATGTATCTCTTTATATAGATGCTATTACCTCTGCATTGTGCTTCCAATAACTTTCTATTATACATACTTTATATATATATATATATATATGTCGGAGATGAAAGAACACCGGAGTCTGTAATTGAACAATTGTAGTTATTCAATCCGATTGTAATTGTTCGAGAGTTGTGATAATGAGCTTGGGCTCGAGGCGACAGTCAGTCGTCGAACGTAGCCGCGGTTACGGGATGAACGCTTTGTCTAACAAAGGTATGGAGTAATTCTATAGCTCTCCATAAAAGAAATATTCGTGGCGACACGCGACAGTAAACATGCCAACGGTTTCTGTCCCGTGTCCTCGCCACACGCAGACCCTATTCTTCGAGTAAGATGATTGCCAGATGTCGATGCGTCTCCGCAGTACATGTTCGGCTAGCTTGAGGGCCCGTTATAAATCTTAAGATTTAGTCAACTAAAGTCCTTCAAACAGACAAACAGTCTTTGTCCCAAC